CTAAATGATGAACAAAATGTGTTTTACCAAAACTCTTCAGACAAATTATAAAAACCATTATAAAAACCTGTCATGTAAGACGCACATCAGTCATGTCAAGGCCGTACATCAACATGTTACTACATTTTGATATTTTAGAGAAAAAATTAACCTACCAAAGGACAATTCATATTAACACAACCTGAAACTTTGTTTTTTAAAAGAAAATATTTAAAAGGTAAAAAGCATTTATATGTGGGAAGATTGAGCGAGAATTTCTAAAATACTATAGGAGCGTTGATATATCTCTACTGAATATCAATTTGATTTTCCTACCACACATTCATTACATTTCGTATTTTAAGGCCCTCCAACCCATTCAGTGTAGAAAATTCTTTAATGGAAAGCCACTTGTAGCTTTGAAAATTCTCCCAAAAAAAAGAAAATTCAAATAAACATTAACAAAACAAAAACATCAACAAATAAAAAAACAATAAAAATTATGGACACAATAACCTACAAACAATGGGTAAAATGAAATGATCAGTTAGGATTATTTATAAGATTTGTCAGCTTGACATATATATATATATATATATATAGATCAAAGATTTATTTAGCACTCTCTAGTACATATAAACAATAACCTACAAACAATGGGTAAAATGAAATGGTCAGTTAGGATGATTTATAAGATTTGTCAGCTTGACACATATATATATATATAGATCAAAGATTTATTTAGCACTCTCTAGTACATATAAACAATAACCTACAAACAATGGGTAAAATGAAATGGTCAGTTAGGATGATTTATAAGATTTGTCAGCTTGACACATATATATATATATAGATCAAAGATTTATTTAGCACTCTCTAGTACATATAAACAATAACCTACAAACAATGGGTAAAATGAAATGGTCAGTTAGGATGATTTATAAGATTTGTCAGCTTGACACATATATATATATATTTACATTTGTATGGCATTGTCACTATATAGCCTCTTTGAAAGCTGTGTTGTTGATGGGACTTTAATTACCATGCATCACAAGACAGAATCCTTTGCGTATTAATACAACACTGACCGGAACTACAATATCCAATATCGTACAAAATGCACATCGGTTGAAATCACCAATGCCGGCAAAGGAAACAATTTTAACGCTCATGCAATTTATCAGAAATATCGTCTGTTACACAGCACTGATCAACAGGGGTTCGTGACAAATGTCTGAAATACACATATTCTATAGACCTACTGACACATATGTTACAGACCTACTGATATGAGTCACAGCACACATAAACATTTCAGACATTTTGTAACGAACCTCAACCTGTGCTCCGTCGCAAGATTACTCACTTCAAACGCTATCAGTTTCACGCATCTCGCATCCACTGTTCCTGATTTCTGACGACATGTCAAATAACGAGGCTGTTATAGAATCTACCGACTGTTGTCAGGTTCCCATACAATCAACAAATAAATTCACGCCTGGATTCTTCACAAAATGAGCGAAGAGAAAAGTTTGAATTAACTTCCAAAAATAACTACCTCATGGAGGGCAAGGTCGGATTTACTCTCTAGTACATATAAACAATAACCAACAAACAATGGGTAAAATGAAATGGTCAGTTAGGATGATTGATACGATTTGTCAGCTTGACATATAAATATATATATAGATCAAAGATTTATTTAGCACTCTCTAGTACATATAAACAATAACCTACAAACAATGGGTAAAATGAAATGGTCAGTTAGGATGATTTATACGATTTGTCAGCTTGACACATTATAGTACACATGAACAGGTAAGTTTGTTAGTACACATATCACCATTACATATATTTAAATTTTGTGTATTTTTGGTTTGTGTTTATGGTAACCACCCTTCATTAGTTAATATCATATTGCCAAAAGACTGCAGGCACCTATCATTGACCATATGTAGGCATTGAATTTGATATTTTACTATAATTCTTCTTTGATTAAAACTTAAATAATAAGTACTGTAAAAATAATTTCTTAGATTGTCAAAAAATGAAGTTTAAGAAAAGATGGCATGAATTTTACTCCCCATTTTAGTATCATATAGCTTTATTATGGTTCCAAATCAACGACTCGAGTAAAAGGATTTTTATCAATAAAAAAAACATATTACCAAGTGTATGTTTAAGTTTTTTCCCTAAGCTCTAATCACATTTTCACAACTTAAGAATTAATCAAACAAGGCAAAGCATTGCAACAAACCATAGTTCCTCAACTGTGGAAAGCTATGGCATTAAAGTGAGCAAAGGGCCATAACTCTGTAAGTTTTGGGGCACAACACTGGAATTCAGTATGTGACTCTCTTACCATTACAAAAGGTACACACTTACCAAATTTGACAACTGCAGGTGAAAATATGTAACCTAAAGTCATGCATGGTAAACAAAGGGCCATAAAACTGTATACAGCGGTGGCATTAAATTCGATTTCCACAATGCAACCCTCCATCATCCCAAAAGAAACAAAGGGCCATAACTCTATATATTAAGTAGGGTACCAGACCTGATGTTCTGTAAATGCGTCTCTCTACCAATGTACTCACATGCACCACTCAGCAACTGTAGATGACAAACTATCTGAGATATGACATGAAAGGGCTATAACGCCAGAAATGCCATGGGGCAAAGATAACTTTTTTGTAACCATATTTTTATTTTATGTCATTTTGTATGAGAGTAAATCAAAATCATATAAGTGTCCTGAGTATATATTAGGACATACTTATATGTTACATGATCACTCTCCTGGATTTTTTTAATTAAAATCTTCAGGAGTAGGTTGTCTGAAGTAAAATATGAAAGCAAGTATCAAAAAATAAATTAAGCAATATGACAAAACTAGAATTACAGAGTCTATCATATTACACATCCATAAAACCAATATTTTGTCACTGATCATGTCATACAGAAAATACGTCATATTAGCTACCTGTACTAATGTTAGAATTGATGCGAGTTAACGCCACCAATATTTCTTAGCAAGTAAAATAGCATGTAGTTTAAAAGAAGTGCATTGATGAGGTTGCCTTACAAGCGTCACCTGTAGGGAATTTCCCTTTAGCTCAACGGTAGAGCATCGGGCTGGAGAGCCAATGGTCGCGGGTTCGAGCCCCAGCGACAGAGCTGTCTTTATCACTATTCCTCGTCCTACTACAAACTGGTGCCTTTGACCTTCCTCGTTCAAAGTTGAAGAACCCTTGGCGGGGAGTCAAAGAACCAGGGTTGGTGATTGAAAAAGGGGGGGGGGGGAGGGTATAGTGTAAAAGATGTGCATTGATTAGGTTGCCTTACAAGTATCAGTTGTAGGGAATTTCCCTTTAACTCAGCGGTAGAGCACCGGACTCAGGAGAGCCAGAGGTTGCGGGTTCGAGCCCCAGCGACGGCACTATCTTTATCACTAATCCTCGTCCTATTACAGTAGTATAGAAATGTGACAGCAGAAACTTCTGTTGGTAATTAATGGATAGGTATATCCAAAACATGAGATTGTCATTTCTGAGATCTCATCATTTTTGGTCATGAGCTAAAATATCAGGTGTAACCAGACAAAATCGGTCAGTAGATCAAAAAATATGAAATTAATGTATCGCAAGTGTCTTCAATCATGTGCCACAATAAGCTTACTGAATGTCACGAGGGAAATCTTCAATACTTAGACTGAGGTCTGCACTGTTCTGATTGAAAACAAATTGAAAGGTGTTCTTAAACACAGATGACGATTCTATATGAAACATAAAGAAAATTGAACGATATATACTCTGGTGGTACAAACTTTCAGATCCGCTTCTTGTGTCACAATTTAAAAGCTTGTTGTCTGTACTGATCAGAGTTTTTGTAAAGAACAGAATCTACATACAAATAAATACTCTACAAGGCAATAAAAAAAATATGAAAATTGAACAACAGATTTAACAATTATCAATCAATCAATCAATTTTTATCAGATCTTCTTCTTGTTTCAAAATTTAAATAGGAACTCTTTAATAGTATGCTAAAGGTCTTTGCTGATCAAAGGGGTTTTTTTATCGAAAAAAAAATCTTTACTAAAGAATATATATCATATAATACATACAGGTGAAGAATCTACAGAAACTCTAAAAGAAAATCAGATGATAAATATCACAATTATCAGATCTGCTTGTTGTATTAAAATTAACAAGGTCATACATGCTTCCTAGACAACTTACAACAATAACAAGACAAGAGTGAATGGTTTCACAACCGTGTTGAAACAATGGCCAGATCTGCTGTAAATAACATCTGAAGCTGAGGAGAGTCCCTTTTTTCTCTACAAATGTGCAATGATGATTTTTAAAACCATGAAAAAAAGAAATTCTTCGTTGAGTGTTCAGCACTGATTAAGAGGCTTAAATTCATGTCATTACAGTTCATAAATAAAGGAGGCCGACGCTACGTCTATCATTCTGAATTCAGAATCATCGGGGCAGGGGAAGCTGCAAAGACGTTGATGAATGCCACAATGATGATGACGATGATGAAGGTGGTATAGACAATAATATCAATGATAATGCATATGCAAAACCACACACTTGTGTTTTTCTAACGAATCAGAAAGCATGAGTTTATTGTGCGGACGAATATATACGTCCGCGCAATAAATGAGTGCTTTCTGATTCGTTAGAAAAACACAAGTGTGTGGTCTTGCTTGCATCACATACCTTCCGTATTTGGTAGAGATCGATACTAAGATTTTATAAACTTTTATATTTTTATGCAAATACCGGGAACTTTTCAGTTTGCCATGACAAGGGGATTCCCATAAAAAGTAGTTCCGGCTAGTAGGTAAATACAACATTCCGTATTGCACATGTGCAAAACAGAACGTTGTATTTCATGGTCTGAAGTTGCTTGTATTACTATAACAAGATTCAACAGGTATGAGATGAAATGATTAATAGAATCTTCCCCGACCTTGAGGGTGTGACAGAGATATCTCCAACCCGAGGGGTGATGATTTTTGGTTGTCTAACCCGAGGCTCTGTTGTTTAATGACACATTTTAATGACGTTACAATTGCACTCGTGCTAATCTGCATGAGGCTATCTCCCTCTAGGAGGTGACAAGCTGATCTTTCTCGGCTAAAATGAGAGACACATCTGTAAAGGGTGGGGAAAATACAATTTCCATGCTATAGGTCAAAAAAAAAATCTACCACTTAATTATCCACTACATAGAGAGGGTGACACAACCATCAGATTTCCTCTGTACATACTGTTTATAGAGACACAATCCTGTCACTACACCAAACATATTTTCTTGTGTTGAAAACTAATGAAAAGTAACAGTTTCTTAATCGAAGAACAATGAAAACAGTACACCAATCAGATTTGCTCCTTGCGGCGGAAGCTGATTAGGGGCTCTGTTTCACTGCCGCTGGCACTGCGTGACGAGGATACCGTTGGATAGCTCTGGGAGGCATTGATGTTGCTGGAATTCAGGTAGGAATATTCGCTCAAGTTGAAAATTCTGTTCCAGCTCACAGCTTCTTGGGGCACACCCCAGAACACGAGGGAGGAGAACAAAGCTTGTAGTGGGTTCAATAGGCCCTGAAACATGCATATCATAATACAACATTTCTGGGTTCAATAAGCCCTGAAACATGCATATCATAATACAATATTTCCTGTCTTTTGGTTGTAGGAAAAGCTCCTGAAACCATAGTTGACCCAGTATTGGTGTCATATGAGATTTGCCTACCCTTTAGAGGCCATATAACCCTTAAGTATGCCTTTGGTTAATATTAACATCTCGGGTTGACAAATCCTCATGTCACACTTATATGGAGTCAGTAACTGTATATCATAATAGCATGAAGTGCACTTTTTTTACCCTTTTCTTGATGGTGCCAACGTCTTTCAAATCAATACTCAGATTGTCACAATTGAAAAACCAGTTAATACAATTTACAGTACATGTAATACCATTTTGCATCACAATGTGAAAATGAAAGATCGCTGTATCACAAATTTTTTATAGCATATTTTTTTATATATCTGTTTGGGAATTTCAACACATGCGTTAAACAGCTCTGTTGAAAACTTTACAACATTCTATAACTAGCAGTAAGAATCAGTTAAAATTTCGTAATAAATGATTGGTTCAATGAAAAACTTCAATCTGTATGGCCTATGATATCTATCATTGAGTAAGATAGCATTTTGATGCCACAGTTTTCTGAAATTCAACATCATTTTGCTCTGCTTCATTAGGATTTATACTTAAAATCTGAAATGATTTTTTTTGTATTTTCACATACTATTGTACTGTAAATAAATTTAGGCAGTTGCTATTATTATGAACTATTTACAAAAATTAAAGAATAAATATCTGGGATTTATCCAATTTAAAAAAGTTTGTTAAAACTTGTTTTTATATGAACTTGTGATAGAAAACGCTGATTTCAATCTTGCTTTCCAAGGAAAACATAAAACAAGTACAGTGAATATCTATTATACAGATATTGAAAAAAAATGCTTTACCCTTTCACCGCTATGTAACTTTAGTAGAATCTACCTTGCATTAATCTGGATGAGTCCATTATGTTTTTCAGCTATAACCCAATGACAATTAAACATATTATCAGGAGGCTTGGTAGTCTTGTGGTAGGACCCCCGGCTCGGGACCGAAGGGTTCCAGGTTCGAGTCACAGCACTGTGATGTATCTTTGAGACACCTTACTCCAATTGTTCCAGTCTACTCAGCTGTAAATGAGTACGTGGTTAGGCAGTGCTAGAATTGTTGAATGCTAGCTGTGAGTGTTGTGATAGGTTGCTTGCTAGATTGTGATAAAGCGGTATAAAATAACCTCAAATTATTAGGGCTTTTCACCAACTGGTGAAAAGACCTATTGTATTTGTTATGTTTCTTATTCTTCTTTTTCTTCTTATTATTCTTCTTCCATATTTTGTGGAGTCTCTATCTTTTGATTGGTAAAAGATAAGTTTAAAATCCGAAAAGTAAGATGTAGGTCTATATCTGAAGGTGTCATTGTGACATTTTCAAGTAGGTCAAAAATCCAATATGGCCGCCATGACGTCATACCTTAAAATCTTAAAATAGCCATAACTCAAAAACGGTTTAATTTACAGAATTGACGCATTTATATTATATGTAGATCATCTTCGGGGCTAACTTTTTTGTCGGTGCTTTATCTCAAAAAAAGGTCAAATAAAAAAGCTCATTGTTTGGTCAAAAATCACAATTTTTTAAATTTTTAAATTTTTGATTTTTTTGGAAAAAATATTTTACAGATCAATGCAGAATGTCATTCCGATGAATTTGATGTCTTCAGTTTTTCTGTAACATTTACCGTTAACATCCTATGGCGTGTTCATAATTGTCTTTGATCTTTTTTGAAAATCCGACACTATTTTTACAAACTTCAACGATCTTCTTCTCCAATTCTGCCATTGCAATATTAACCACAATTGGTACATGTATTCCTCTGGGGGCCCTTACGAACTTATGTTACTTTTTGGAGCAATTAATATTCCAAGATGGCCACCACGAACTCTGATTGGTGAACAGCCTATACCAATATATTTCGTTAACAATATCAAGCATGCGGTTGATCTTTGAATATCATATAGAGATAGGCAAAAGCAAACTTTTTCTTTCATATTTAACAAAAAATGTCAACTTCCGGTTTTCGGCAGGGGTCAAAGTTAAAATGCACTATAATGGGTACCTCCCTTAAACAAAATTCTTCTTAAGTTCCACAAGGTCTAGAGTCTTGATATTTTATATTTAAGATGCTAAGATGTTTGGGTATCAGGTTTGAAAAAATGGTCGACATTGATCAGCTATCAAGGTCACAATCAAGGTCACAAATGTCAAATTAAAAAACAAGAGGCCCATGGGCCTTAACGGTCACCTGATATATTTATACAGAGAGTTGATTTTGTTTTTAACATGAACAGAAATATTATTCAAAGTGACAAAAAACAATAAAACCACCTTACTCAATATCTAGCATACAGATTTCAGACTAAAAAGGATTTGAAACTAGCACCTACAGCCCTTGGGGGTAGGGCTGGCTCAAAATTTTCAAAGTATCAAACTGTCAATTCAAGGTTATAATTCCAATCAAGTTATTAACATGTAATATTCAAAGTATCATTTG